TGTAAACATCAGAAACGCCTAACTTTTGCGTAACTTTTTTTGTAACTTTTCTACGTTTTTTTTTAGTAGCAGTTGTCAAAACTAATTTGCTTTTCAAATTAGACTTCGACGTTCGTGCAACACAAATGCTCTTACCCTCCTCAAATTGAAAAAAATGTTTTGATTAAATGGCTGGTATATTTTTTAGTCCTTTCCACCTATCATTTAACATGGTTTTTCATTCTTTAATTTGTTTTTGGGATACAAATATAAAAGAAATTTTTGGAGAAAGGCGACGAGCCAGATCATAAAATTCTTCAGCGTTGTTAACAATTGCTTTCCGAGCTCAATTATTAACCGCGGTTACTGATTTGACATTTTATGCAGTTACCGGTTACTCGCTAAAATAGAATGGTTTTAACTTTTTATTACCGGCAGGGCCGGATTAGGAGTTTTAGGGCCCTGGGGCCGACATTTGGTGGGGGCCCTCAATATTTTAAAAAATTTTGACACTTGGGAAATTAAAACTCGGTAAATTTTTAAGCTAGATGAACTTTATGTGATTTTTTATTATCCTTGAATCATTTAGCGTTTTTAAGCTATAAATAAAAAACTCATTTTTTTTAAACGAAACACCCTGTATCTCGATAATGAAGCATTTTCGGACACGTGTTTATAAGAACCTTTTTTCATATTTTGATGAGAGAAATTTCGCCTGGGCTTTTGTCACCACAAGTCTAAATCACCCTGTATATTTGGAATAATACGAACATAACCTTATATACATTTTACCCAAGTCTGAATAAATTATAAATTCGTATGCAAAACTATAAAAACGTAGAAAGTAGAATAGAATTGTGAATGAAAGTGTTTTTATATACTTTATATTTTATATATTTTGAATAATACGAATACGAATACATTTTAATCAAGTAAAATATAAATTGATCTATGTTTTGTTTGTATTTTTAATACATACCGCAAACTGAAAAAAGTGCATCAAAGATCGTATTATTTGTCTGTTTTTCATACAAAATCAAACAATAAAACAATCTTTTGAACAAAGAAATGCACAAAACAGTATTTTGAAAACACCGGAAAATATTCCACAACACTCCAATGTACCAATAAAAATCTGGGACAAAAACTAACTTTAATATTAGATTATAAATAATTGACTTTTTGCCTGTATTTACGTTACAACAAGCACTAAACGAGCAACTGCTTAAAATTGTTATGAGTCATAACTTATGACTATAGACTTTATAAAACGTCTTAGCGCGACAAAACTTTGAGTATGATAATTTACATTCTGATTTGCAAGCGGATAAGCGATAAAAAATCCGCGAAAAATTAGAGTTAGGTCTACGAAAAATTAATTGAAAATAAGAGGATTCTCGCGGTATAACCAATTTTTTTCATATTTGTTTCATTAAAAAGCTACATATTGCATTGGTGGGGGCCCCTAAATGGTGGGGGCCCTAGGGCCGTGGCCCCGCTGGCCCCGTGCTCAATCCGGCCCTGATTACCGGTAACTCGCTAAAAATTCCCTAATGTAATCGTAAGAGTCATAACTGTTGCACCCGCGATTCTAATATTTTAATCGCGGGTGCAACTCATTTTAGTCAACGTTAATTTTAATTAAAATGACAACTTACGTTCTATTGCGACAGAATCAAGTTTTCCTTTTATTTCTTCTTACTTCTACAAAGTTTCAAAAAATTACCAATTTATTTCTTCAAGAAAACCAAACTTTCATTTCTTTTATATCGCGGGTGCAACTGACCAACAATGGTTTCTTATTTAATTAATATTGTTAGAAAAATAATAAAAAATATTTAATTTTTTTATATAAGGCAATAAACAAATGTTATGACTTCAATATTCATCAGTGAAATATAACCTCAAACCACCGGTAATAGCGATTTCGTGGAAAAATTATCAAGTGTCGATGAATAGTTTGCATCAAGTCTTCAGGCGCCACCATTTCTGAGCGCGCCAAAAAATTCAAATAATAACTTAAGTTCTTAAAAGTTTTTTTATTATTAAATATATATCTTTCTCTTTGTATTGGTATAAAAAAAGTAATAAACTCTGTGATTTAAAAATGTATGTCAAAAATCGTCTCCCGCGGAATCGCCCTATATCTATTTCAATAAAGTAATAAATATGGCAGGTTTTTTAAATAATTGTATGATTCTTCGGATGACGAGGATTTAGATTTTATTGGGGACATTGCTACTAGAAATAAATATAACCCAGGTTTGTTGAGTTTATAAATATATATATAAAAGTATATTTTAATAACATTACACATTGATAATAAATTCTTCCATTCCTGCTCACAAATGACAAAAAATTAGATGTATTAACATTAAAAATTAATAAAATCACCTTGTATAGCAGTCATTTTTAAATAATATATCCACTTTAACAGAAAACAAACTTACAATATTACAAACGTTAATAAATAAACAAAAAGATGAGGTTATGTGCCCCTTCTACGCATGCGTCTAATTTTATTATCAACAGTTCTTGCTCTCGAGCAAGAATCGTTTGAACCGTAATTTAACTGTTCGTAACTCTGGTTGGAACGACGAACTGACAGTAATTGCCAGTTCTAAACTAGTAATTTTAGTTGGTTGGAACGACATTTTACAAACGCGCATGTGTATCAGTAATATTACTGGAAATTACTGCTGGTTGGAATGAACCTAATATATATAAAAGTATATTTTAATAACATCACACATTGATAATAAATTCTTCCATTCCTGCTCACAAATGACAAAAATTAGATGTATTAACATTAAAAATTAATACAATCACCTTGTATAGCAGTCATTTTTAAATAATATGTCCACTTTAACAGAAAACAAACTTACAATATTACAAAAGTTAATAAATAAACAAAAAGATGAGGTTATGTGCCCCTTCTACGCATGCGTCTAATTTTATTATCAACAGTTCTTGCTCTCGAGCAAGAATCGTTTGAACCGTAATTTTACTGTTCGTAACTCTGGTTGGAACGACGAACTGACAGTAATTGCCAGTTCTAAACTAGTAATTTTAGTTGGTTGGAACGACATTTTACAAACGCGCATGTGTATCAGTAATATTACTGGAAATTACTGCTGGTTGGAATAAACCTAATAAAACATTCCTAAGAACGGTTTTTTAATTGTTATGTTATAAAAAATACCAATAAAAGGTACAGTGGCGGACACGGAACATCAAATTTCTGTCATTACAAAAAATGTCAATGTTATTATTATCGACGCGTCGCGACGTTTGTATTTTAAAGTTAAAAGTTAAAGGCCTATAGACCAAAAGAATAAGAAGAAGAAATTTGAAAGTTTACAATTTAAAGCTTATTTTCTAGTGTAGAAAAACATCGCTCGATTTCTGTGCACAGTCTGTGTACGTTACCGATGACAACTGTATTTAAACTAAAACGGTGTTTAATTTTAAATTTAACAATACAACTTAATACCTATATATACAGCCTGTTCAGAATAAAACCGAATATATCTATAATATATAGATTATATATTATATATATATAGATTATATATATATATATATATATATATATATATATATATGGGGCGTAGCTAAGCAAATAGACTGCATCGCTAATGAGATTTTTTGCATTATTATCATTTAATTTTTTAAGTCCTTACCTGCTCGACCTTTCGTCATGTCGTTTATCACACAAGCAACTGTGTCGCGCGTTGGAGGGAGGCGAGGCCACGCCCCATATATATATAGATATATTCGGTTTTAGTCTGAACGAGCTGTATAATATATACTATAAATAAATAAGTATAGATTCTAAAATAAAAATATAATAAATTAAAATGTAGCGTGACCTATGTACAACAAAAAATACCTAATTTGTGCGATTTAGAGGGCAGGTTTTGTCAATTTCCCCTATTAAGTTTGGACTCCTTCTGTAGGCTTCATAAATGGTCATGGCCATCATGCATGGTTTGTTCTGTGGGCTTCATGTAAAGAAAATTGATTACATTTAAGATTTTTTATTGTTAATTTCAGGAGGCTTTAATTTTTATTAATAATAATAAAAATTACACCGAGGTTTCAAAAATTATCTAGAACTGACTGCCATCTACTAATTTTTAATGGAACGGGAACGGAAGTTCAATTTTATTTACAGTGTGTGCAATTTAAAACGAAAACGCGTTGAGCGATTTTAATTTATAGTTCTTGGGGACAAAGTGCTCAATGAGCTCTATTTGACCATGTAGGGAAATTTTCAAGGCTTGCCAAGACCTTCTAAAACCTGCTGAAAGGGTCAAAATTTTGAGAACGACCAATAAGCAATTTTTTAAGGTCGTTTTCTAAATTTTGACCTATTTAGCAGTTGTAAGCAGGCCTTGAAAAAATAATTTAAAACTGTTTCACATGGTCAAATAGAGCTTATAAAGCACTGTCTCAAAAAAATATTAAAATCAGTCAACGCCTTTTAAAATAATGGGGCGTGGAAGGTCTAAAATCGCACACACTGTTACAGTGTATGTATAGATTACACCTTATTTTTTCTTACAACCTTGCAAGGTTGTAAGAAAAAATAAGGGGAGCAAAGCCGCATATATTTAGCTAGTTTTGCATAAAAAACGTTTTGAAAAACTGAAAAAAATTATCAGATTCATATTTAATATTTTCCAATTACAACTAATGCGGCAATTAGATTTATGGCCTTGTTAATTTAACCAGTAAACTCATGTGATGCACTAATAAAATACAAACAGCCTTAAATACGAGCTAAAACTTCTTATAAAGCGTAGTATTTAGCTCATGGACTTCTCATTCTCTCAATGTTTTCCTGCTTAAACTTTTGAGGTTTATTTTTGAATCATCGGTGTAAAAATATTTTTCCGACTTGTAAATGTGCCAGTGTGATGACTTGTTCATTTAGTTCAGTTTTTATCGTGACTTGGTTGAGTACACTTCAGTTTTTTTAAGTGAAGAGATAATAAAATATTAAGCTATTTTTGGATATGTGTTCAAGAGGATATTTGGGCACAAGCCCTCAGGAGCTGCCATCTTTAATTGTGCCCAATTTTTTAAGGGTTAACTCTTTTATCGATGAAGATCATAGTACAGACGGTAATTTTAGTAGATTAGTATTTTGTAGTTAAATATTTTTGTCGAATTAGAAATTTAATAGCATTAACTGGTCCACAGATATTCATAAAAATTTCAAAATTTAAATCTTCTAAATAATAATTTTATGCTGTATATATTTAAAAAGCACCCCAGAAGGGCAATGTACAAAAAAATGTTACAAGCAAACTCACTTTAAAATGTACTAAATTGTTTTTTTCAATAACTCTTTGCATTAGAGTTTTTTAAAAACCGACCAACCTTATAACAAATGCTTACAAATAGTTGCAATAATTCTGTATTTAAATGTATAAATATGAAATGTTAAAGATGATTTTTCTTGTTGTTCATTCTGGAATTATTTATGACAATATTGCACTAAATACTGTCTTTACTATTTTTAGATAAAAACATAGAATGTCCTTGAAAAAAATAGTATACAAACATAAATAAGTTGATTAACACAATTTGTTTCTAGAAAAACGTATTCTAAATATTTACCATACCAAATACTTGCCAAGTCTTTTGTTTACTTTTTTAACAGCACTATTAATGATGTCTCTTTTGTTTACCTATGTTCTGTTTTTCTTTCCATAATAATGATATTTTTAATTTATACCAGGTGGAAAAAAATTCGTGTTCGAGATTGAAAAAAATGCGAAATATTTCGGCCTTTGTTTTGGAGATATCGAGGTTCAAAGTTTTGAAAGAGATAAATTTAAGTTTTACAAAAAACTAATAGTAGGCCATATTTAATCACTGTAACGGTAACACATGACACAGAAAAAAACACTACTTTAAATTACAATTCATGGCAACTATAAACCACTGAATCTTCTTAATTTTAAATAGTACAGCCAGTGATTCAGATTCAGGGGGGCGTTTAAGGGAGTTCAACCCCCCCGAAATTAAATAAATTAAAAAAGTGACACTAAATTTTACTATAGTATTAATATTAGTATTGTAATAGATGCTACTTACTCCTGCAATAAATCTACAAAGTATTAATAAAACCCCTCCAGGGCCGGCGTTAGCTTATTAGAGGCCAGGTGCAAAAGAAAAATGCGGGTCTTGAACTAAAAATTTACTCTTGAAAATTAACGTAGCGCTTAGCAGCAAAAAAACACTAAAACATCAAACGAAAAACCAGTTGAAGGGGTTAGAGCTAAAACCGAAAAACCAGTTGAAGGGGTTAGAGCTGAAACCGCCAAAGTGCATTTATAAGTCAAAATTTTTTAAGCGTGTTACTGGATAGTAGAAAATTTTAGAACTTTTTAAAAATGCACTTGTGTGGTTTAGCTTTTCCCTACAATTAATATAGAAATTGTCGTTTAAGAAAAATCACACATTATTTTTCCCTGCTTTAGCGGAAGCTCTTTTCCAACATCCTTCTCTATTGACAATATAGCCAAATCCACTAGTCGTTCTTGGCACATACCTTCTTGATCTTAAATATTTTTTTATTAATTTTAATTTTGAAAAACTCTTTTCCCGACGTAATAATAATTGTTTTAAACGGATACAGGCAACTTCAAATACACATTTAGAAGCATTGGACTGAATGATAATAGATGACGATACCTACTAAAGATATTATCTCTGGCAATGACCAGATATTATTTTGTCACTCGTGCCTAGTTTAATCCTGAGGGTATTCCCAAAGAGAAAGTAAGGTAATTTATTAATAACAATAAGGTAGAAAATTAATTTTGTGAATTTTCCAATTAGCTTAGTTATATTTCCATTATTAAAATAAATAAATTAAAATAATAACAAATAAAAATGCTCTTATATATAAATATATTATTATAATAATAATAATTACCATACGTACAAAGCTACTAATTGCGAAAAATGCGAATATTTTTTTTTCTGTTGGGTTTAGGTATAGGATTTATATACAGCCCGTTCAGAGTAAAACCGAATATATCTATATAAATATGGGGCGTGGCCTCGCCTCCCTCCAACGCGCGACACAGTAGCTAAGCAAATAGCCTGCATCGCTAATGAGATTTTTTGCATTATTATCATTTAATTTTTTAAGTCCTTACCTGCTCGACCTTTCGTCATGTCGTTTATCACACAAGATACTGTGACGCGATATATTCGGTTTTACTCTGAACGGGTATATAAAGAAAGGAAATTATATATTTTATCCAATTATGTAAAATATATAGGGTATTCCATTGAAAAAAACAAGATTTTAAACTTTTAAAATCGCTATTTTCAACGGAGCATAGAAAACACCTTGTATAATATTTTATAAAAAAAAAGATTTAACTTATAGCTTGGTTATTATTAAACATTAACAAAGTATACCTAAAATAGTGTGTAGAATCTAAAAATGCAAAAAAATACAGGGTGTTCCATTGAAAATAAGAAAGTTGGTATCGTCCCACGGAAAACCGAACACCCTGTATAAATGAAAATATAATATTTTAAAAATATTTTTTACTACGTGAATTTTTCTCCCTTACAAATTTTTTGTGACTCCAGTAGTTTCTGAGATAAGTATATGGGTCACCTTACGTGAACCACCCTGTACAATAATTTTGTTAAGACGCCTTGATGCGCGCGGGGCCTATAAAACGCGGGGCCGGGTGCAACGTTTGCACATGCCTCACGCCGGCACTGCACCCCTCCAAAATCTTTATTTGAAGAGATATTAAAAAATTCAGCTTGCATGGTTTAAAAAAGTACCTAATTTTTTTGACAAAAATTAAAAAACAAAAAGGCATAAGGTATATTAGCTTTTGTTTTCGAGATATTGTAAAAAAACTTTTTTTCGATATGCAAACATTCAAATTTATTTATATGTATATATTTTTTTTAATCAAATAGTTAAATCAAGGATCATTGTTAATATAAGTTCTAATTAAACTAAAAAAAATAATAATCATCGCACCCATATGGGTAATATATATTACCCTAAAAAAGTTGCCAAAATCGTTGGCGAAAAGTACTTTAAACACTACGTTTTTTTTTTGGTGTTGGGGAATATTTCTAATATTTGTTTAACATATCACCAAAGTTGTCCTTTTAGTACCCAGAGACTGTTGACCAGTGAATTCTTTAAAGTATTTAAATCGTTTGAAAATACTAAAGGTGCGAATTTTTTATTTTAAAAATAATTTTATTAACTTAATACTAAAATGGTTTTATAACAAGTAAAAAAATTATAAACTCAAAGAATTTGGTTATGTTTGGAATTTTTATTTTTGCATATACTTCGTGCATTCGTAAATCTTGACACGCCTACTATACCTACCAATATTATATTTTAATACCAATATACCATTTATATTATAACATCGTGACGTCACGTCGATTTTTATTTTTAAGAAAAAATTTGGTTGTTTGTATTAACTAATCTCTATAATAAGTGGTTTCACACTGATTTTTAACATCACATCAAACCTCATTAATATAAATCAATAATATCAAACACTAAAATCATTGAAACCGGTGTTTAGCGACTAGGCAAAGAATTTACTGAATCTGTTCTTCGTCCACTAACCAATGGTCAGTGACTCATTGAATTTTTGAATAAGACTGATTCTCCGTTCAGTAACATTAACAATACTCATCTGTAGCCAATTCTGAGGTGGTACTTTCAGAAATTCTTTAATTTGGATATACCTTCATTAAAAAATACATTAAAGTTTTCAGTTTAAGTAAATGGTCATTCCAATATCTCACATAAACCAAGCTCACAAATAAAGTCTTTCTAGTTGTTAAAGAAAACAGATTTTCGAAGAGGTACCTATAACTTTAGGACATAATTGGCTTTTGACATCCATCAAGCATGATGTGTAGGGCCAGGAGCGCATTTCACCCACCAAGGGACAGAAGAGACAATCTCAAATGTTCCTTATAATCGTTTCGTGGTTACTGTTGTTCTAGTCAGTAATTCTTTTTACAAAGGATTAAATAAAGGATTTTGAAACACGCCAGCTGCACTATAAGCAGTTTGATTGTTAGTTGTATAAGCTTTCTAAAAGCGATTGAATAGCCGAACGAACAGAAAGTTTCATGACATGAATCCAGACAAGCTCACGTTTAAGAAATTGTTTAAAGCTCCAGTATGGCAACCAGATTGCTTGCTGTCGTATCAAATACAATGGCTTTATATTATTATTATATTAATGAACGATTTAACTTAACATTTCTATATATCTTTATTAACGCTTGAGCCTGAGCCTTTCCTGTTTCTTTATCGTAATATCCATTATTGAAATACCCAAAAGTTTTTCATGAAAAATCTTGGTGATAAATATAGCGATGCGGTCAACTTTATTTAAATCCATCAATATCCTATACTTACCTTCTGCGCGACCAGTAAATGGCAACCTAGATGGATCAAATTTGGTACGAATATTATTACATAATCACATACAAAAATTAGATATGCGGAGGCAAGATTCAACAGTTTTTTTCTTCATACAATTGTGGACCACATTGTACATAAATATTTTGAACCCCCCTTAAATATTTTTTTGGCTCGGCCCCTGAGCACAGCTTATATAATTCTGTCTCGCAAATGCTCTTCAGTGTGAATTTTCTCTGCATTCATTCTTTACATAATTTGTATTTTTTTTATACTGACAATAAAGAGCAATACTATGTGACAACTGTCAACGACTTTTGTTTCAAATCAATGTCTTGGATACTATTAATTTTATAGACAAACATTTTTAGTTTAGGAAACTTCATGCCTTGATATATGTATATATCACAAACAAACGCCGATCGGAAAAAAATATTTTGCATGTTTTGCTTAGAACTCAAACTCGAACACGAAATTTTGCCTCGTAAAAATCATTCTGCATGTACACAATATGTTCTACATATATGTAGAGGGTGCGTCAAAATGGCGCACTTACGGTATTCCACGCTGTAGCGATTGTAAATTACATTATATCTTTGTTATTAGATATTAATAACTTATTAATAACAAATTTTAACATAATTTTTGAAACCTTTTTAGGAAATTTATAAAATAC